AGAATGTTCTCAGTTCCTGCACATCCATGCATCTATCTGTCCACGTCTTCCCTGCTCCATGATGTCCTGCTGTCCTGCTTCATCCAACAGCCTGTCCACATCTAGAACCCTGTTTAATTCCTGTCCTCTAACACAAGGCATCTCTCAGCTATTTTGAACACTAGGACTTTCTGCTTTTTTTTTTTTTTTAAGATTTTATTTATTTATGACAGAGAGAGAGACAGCGAGAGAGGGAACACAGGCAGGGGCAGTGGGAGAGGAAGAAGCAGGCTCTCCGCCGAGCCGGGAGCCCGATGCTGAACTCGATCCCAGGACCCTGCGATCATGACCTGAGCCGAAGGCAGATGCTTAACCGAATGAGCCACCCAGGCGCCCCAGGACTTTCTGCTTTGAAAGAATTGCAGATTCACTCTTTCACTCACAAGACTGCCCCTCCACTTCAGACACCAAATGCAAGTAGTGGGTTCCCAAGTCACCTGTGCAAGTCTGAGTTGGCTACAAAATCAGGGGTTCCCACAACCCCCTCCGCAGGTTCAGTAATTTGCTGTAATGGCTCATAGAACTCAGGGAAATACTTCGCTTGTTATTACTGATAGGATAAAGCATATAAAAGACACAGATGAGCAGCCAGAGGAAGAGGTCTGCAGGGCAAGAACTGAAGAGTCCTGAGCGCAAGGACTCTGTCACACAGAGTTGGGGTCTGCCACCTTCCCTGCATGTGGATGTGTTTGCTAACCTGGAAGCTCACCAAACCCTGTTGTTTAGGGTTTTATAGAGGTTCCATTACACAAGCATACTTGATGAAATCATTGGCTCTTGGTAGTCCCCTCAACCTCCAGTACCCCCTCTCCCCAGAGGTTGGTGAGTGGGGCTGCAGCTGGAAGTTCCAACCCTCTAATCACATAGTTGGTTCCCCTGATAAGCAGCCCCCATCCTGAACTATCTCCTCATTAGCATAAACTCAGAAATGTTTGGTGGAAGTCTTATGAATAAAAAAGCTACTCTTCTCACCCCTGTCCCTCAGGAAATTACAAAGGTTTTTAGAGCTCTGTGCCAGGAAACCGGGAAGAAGACCAAATCTATATTTCTTGTCATATCTCAATATCACAATTGCTGCATCACTTAGCAAGGTTACTGCCTAGTTATTTCTCTGGTTGGACTATCTCTAATGTGATGCCTTCCTAAGGAAGTCTCTAAGATAATTCTGATGCTTTTCACCTGGGATGATACTTTAGAACCACTCCCATATAAGATGCCCTCTGTGTTTGGGGCACCCAGACCTGTGAGTGCCCCAGGGCTCTCCACGTGCTTTACTCTGTGGCCTCCTCCCTAGCAGGGATTCAACCCTGGACTTCTAAGCTGCAGGAGTCTGGCCACAAAGGCCTCAACTGTTACTCATCTGACCCTGGTGAGGCCCATGGAGCCAGCTTAAGGCAAGGTCATGGCTCTCTTTGAAGCTGTGGCCTCCTGTTGAGTGTTTCTTGGATCTCTCTGGCTCTTCCACCTCCTCTCCCACATGGGGTGGTCTAGCACTTCACTGTTACATTTGAGGTTGGGGAGCTGAAGCTAGGGAGAAAGCTGGCTTCTGGGGCTCTAGCAGCCGTTTGTCCCCAGGAGCTATCGCCCTTGGAGGAGACCCCTCTGGTCCTTCCTTAGTGCACTTGGCCCTTCCCTTCTGGAGCACAAATCCTAATTTGCCGCCCATGCTGTGCTCCTCCTCACCCCTTCCCCTGAAATGAACATTTCCTCTCTGGTCTCTCCCCCAAACAGCCCCTCCCCTGCAATCGCCCTTGGGGCACTCTCCCTCCATCCCTCACTTGACCCCACCTGAGAGCCCAGGTGAACAGGATGCTGGGCCCCACTAACGAGTCTGTTGGGGGATGCTAAATTTGAGAATTTTTTTTTTTTTTAAGATTTTATTTATTTATTTGAGAGAGAGCATGAGACAGAGCATGAGAGGGGGAGGGTCAGAGGGAGAAGCAGGCTCCCCGCCGAGCAGGGAGCCCGATGCGGGACTCGATCCAGGGACTCCAGGATCATGACCTGAGCCGAAGGCAGTCGCTTAACCAACTGAGCCACCCAGGCGCCCTAGCTTTTTTTTTCTTTTTTTTTTAAGATTTTTATTTATTTGAGAGAGAGCATGAGAGGGGGGAGGGTCAGAGGGAGAAGCAGACTCCCTGCCGAGCAGGGAGCCCGATGCGGGACTCAATCCCGGGACTCCGGGATCACGACCTGAGCCGAAGGCAGTCGCCCAACCGACTGAGCCACCCAGGCGCCCCAGTTCTCCTTTTCGTGTGGCTGGCAACATTAAGAGAATCTCTTGAGGGGCTCCTGGGTGGCTCAGTCGTTAAGCGTCTGCCTTCGGCTCAGGTCGTGATCCCAGGGTCCTGGGATCAAGCCCTGCATTGGGGTCCCTGCTTAGCAGGGAGTCTGCTTCTCCCCCTCCCTGTGCTTTTCCCCCTGTTCATGCTCTCTCTCTCTCTATCTCTGTGTCTCGAATGAATTAAAAAAAAAAAAATCTTTAAAAAAATAGGGGCGCCTGGGTGGCTCAGTTGGTTAAGCCTCTGATTCTTTTTTTTTTTTTAAGATTTTATTTATTTATTTGACAGAGAATGAGAGAGAGAGAGCACATGAGAGGGGGGAGGGTCAGAGGGAGAAGCAGACTCCCTGCTGAGCAGGGAGCCCGATGCGGGACTCGATCCCGGGACTCCAGGATCATGACCTGAGCCGAAGGCAGTCACTTAACCGACTGAGCCACCCAGGCACCCCGAAATTGTTAGATATCCAGTGGACACCTCTTTTAGTCTTTGACAACAATCTGGCTATTGGAGTCTGGGTCAGAGATGGGGCTCAGGGGGGCGATGAGAGTTGGTGTGGGCTTTCAGGGGAGAGTGGGTTGTGGGAGGAGCTGTACATCTTCCGGGAAGAGCTTTGTCGCAGAGACCACAGAGGGAGGGGTTTCAACAAGGAGGCCTGGGCCCCAGGAAGACTCCTGGACTCAGCGAGGGTCAGGAGGGGAGGACAGGGAGGAGGTGGAGACAGCTGGTGGAGATGGGTAGCAGAAGAGTTTGACAGCAAAAGGAAAGTGGCCAGGAGGGCATGGGAAATTGTAAAATCTCACTTCGGAAGTCTCCTTAGAGGTCAGCCACCCAGAGGTTCTCACACGAGTGTGGATTGGCATCGCCGCAGTGCTTATGGAAACCCAGACTCCCGGGCCCCAGCCCAGAGCCTCTGGCTCGGGAGTCCTGGGGTAGGACTCCAGAATCGTATTGCTAACATGTGCCTGGTGAGGCTGTTGCTGCCAGCGAAGGTAGAGCCCCCGACCTAGTCCAGCCTAGATCCTAAAGTCCTAACACCAAAAATCCTGCTTTAACAAAATACCATAGACTGGGCAGCTTAAACAACAGAAGTTTATTTCTCACCGTCCTAGAGGCTGGAAGTCTGAGATCAGGGTGCCATTGATGTGGTTCCTGGTGAGAGAGTCCTCTTCCCAGTTTGCAGATGGCCACCTGCTCACTGAGTCCTCACAGGGTTAAGGGAGAGAGAAGCGAGCTCTCTTGTCTTTTCTTATAAGTCCTATTTGTGGAGGTTCTACCCTCATGAACTACTCACCTCCCGAAGGCCCCGACCCCCTAACCCCATCATATGGGAACGAGGCTTCGACATACATATTTGGTGTATGTGGCGGGGGGAGGCAGGGGGAGAAACATTCAGTCCACAACAGGCACCTCCTTCCTTGGGGTCTCTGCCCACCCATTATCAGCACAGGCCCTACTAACCTTTCTCAGTGATGAATATCTGAGGGGTTCCGCCAAACAGTGAAGCACAGAGTCCGTGGAAAAGGGCAAGGCTGCTCACAGGCAAACTCATTTTCACAGGACAGGGGATCGAGGCTGTTTCCTCGGTGAGTCAGCGGTGGAACGCATACCTTGTACTTACTGAGGTATCCCACGAACACACTCTTGACTGTTCACGCAGGGGCAGAGGCACTGATTCCAGATTCTCCCCCGTCCACCCAGGACACTCTGTCTCTAAAAAAATATTTTCTTGAGGTGAGCACTGTCTTAGTGCTCTGTAGGTCTTAGAGACTTAAACCAACACAAATCTATTATCTTATGCTTCTGTTGTTCAGAAGTCCAAAGTGGTTCTCACTGGGCTAAACTTACGGTGTCAGTGGGGTTGTGGTTGTGCTCCTTTCTGGAGCTTCCAGACAGAATCTGTTTTCTTGCCCTTTCTGGCTTCTAGAGGCTGCCCAGATTCCTTGGCTCCTGGCTTTTTTCCTGTCTTTAAAGCCAGGAGGAGCTGAGTAAGTTCTTCAAACATTGCATCACTCTGAACTCTGTCTCTTCCACATTTAAGGACCCTTGTGATTACATTGGGTCCACCTGGATAATCAAGGCTGCTTTTCCTATTTTAAGGTCAGCTGATTAGCATCCTTGGTTCTAGCTGCTGCCTTAATTCCCCTTTGCCATGTGGTGCCTAACAAATTCACAGGTTCTGCGGCTTAGGATATAAACATCTTTATCGGGGGCATTATTCTGCCTACCACAAATGTATATAAGGTGAAGTGCATAAATCTTGTATATAGCTCGAATTTTTACATACCTAAATATTTATCCTGAAAAACACTACCCAGATCAAGATATAGAACATTTCCAGCTCCTCAAGCAGCCCCCTCATATCCCCTCCTAGTTGGTGCCTCCCAAGGGTAACTTATGCTGACTTCTATCACATGAATTATTTTGCTCCTTCTTGAGCTCCATATAAAAGGAATCAAACAGCACATGACACTCTCTGAAGTAACCCGGTCCCTCTTTGGAACGGTACAACAGAGACTTTTTTCATCATTTGAGCACCAGTCTGTCTTTCTGAGGGAACCCAAGAACTTTGTGGATGTGGTAGGGAAGGGAGGCTGATGGCTCGCTGACTTGGCATAGGGTGGGAGAGGCTGTGTGTGTGTGTGCGCGCGCGCGTGCGCGCACTGCCTTACCGAGTTGATGCAGAATGCTGAAGTGACCAGCAGACCAGCATAGGCTTCAGGTCTGGACACAGGCCACCGGGTGGGAGGGTTTTGCTCCTGGAGACAAAAGGCGCGACCATGGGTTTGCCAAAAGACCGTGTGTCTGTTGCATCTCTGCAGACGCCAGTCCAGGGGTCAGTCCGGGCCACGTACTTCATGGCCGAGGCCAGCCAGCGCAGATGCGAGGGCCCTTTCTCCTCTATGCTGCAAGGTCACCCAAGGTGATAGGAAATCTGAAACACCTTAAAAACCAGACTAGACTGAGCTGCTGTTAACTGGTAATTGAAAATTGTTCACACTTTGAGGCATGATCTTTTTGCAAGAAAGATCAAAGAAACTGCTTTTTTTTTTCACATCTGAGAAGTGTGGGTTAATTATCCACCTCACTCCCCTGCACCTCCTGACAATGTTCATACAACCAGAAGTGCCCTTCTTCCCTTCATGACTTGTTAGAAGTAACCACCGCTTCGAAGCCCAGCCGGAACACGGTCCCTATGGTGATTCTTTCTCCAGTCCCCACTGCCAGAATTAATCAAAAGTTGTCTCTTCTGTGAAATTCTCTACAGTGCCTTTGGTTAGAATTAATTGAGCTTTCCTCCTGTAGTATCTCCTAGATGCTTCTATTACCACTTTTGTGATGTGTCCTGAAACAGAGCTCATTGTCCCCCTTAGTTAATTTTAGTCACCTGGAGAAAGCAATTGTGTCTTCTTGATCTCTGTACTCCCAACCTCGCCTCTCAGGGCACGGTCTGATGGATGTGGGCAATGCAGGTGTGAATGAATGAACAGGCAGCTGGTGAAGGTGTGGTGACACTAGGAAGCTCTGCATACATGGAAGGCCTTGTTCAGAGTAAGCTGTGATGCCCATCTATGAAAGACTGTGACACCCAAAACATCAAAGTAAGAAGAGTAATAAAGAATCATTATTAAGGTCTCATTTTTTTGTTTCAATTCATTTTACTACAAGTCTGAGAAAATTTTGTTATAAAAAGAGGCCTTGGGAAGACTTTGAAAAGACAGTATCTTTGAAAAGACACTGCTAGATGACAGAAGACATGAACGGATATTTCTCCAGAGAAGACATATAGATGGCCAATGGATACATGAAAAGATGCTCAAGATCCCTCATCAGCAGGGAAATGCAAATCAAAACTCAATGAGTGTTACCTCACACCTGTCAGAATGGCTAAAATCAACAACACAAGAAATAAGTGTTGGTGACGATGTGGGGAAAAAAGAATCCTCTTGCACCTTTGATAGGAATGCAAACTATGGAAAACACCATGGAGGTTCTTCAAAAAATTAAAAATAGAATTATCATATGATCCAGTAATTCCACTATTCGGTATTTACCCCCAAAAAGTGAAAACACTAATTCAAAAAGATATATGCATCCCTGTGCTTATTGCAGCATTATTTACAAGAGCCAGATAATGGAAGCAGCCCAAATGTCCACTGGTAGATGAATGGATAAAGACGGAATGGAATATTACTAAGCCATAAAAAGAATGCAGTCTTGCCATTTGCAACAACATGGGTGGATCTAGAGAGTATAATGCTAAGTGAAATAAATCAGTCAGAGAAAAACAAATACCATATTATTTTATTCATATGTGGAATTTAAAAAAAAACAAATGAAGAAAGGAAAAAAAGAGAAAACCCCAAAACAGACTCTTAACTATAGAGGACAAACTGATGGTTCCCAGAGGGGATGGATGAAATAGGTGATGGGGATTAAGGAGGGCACTTACCATGATGAGCACTGAGTCATGTATGGAAGTGTTGAATCACTATATTGTACACCTGAAACTAATATAATACTGTATGTTAACTATACAGGAATTTTATTTACTCATTTATTTATTTAAATATTTTATTTTATTTATTTGAGAGAGAGAGAGAGTGAAAGAGAGAGCACAAGAGAGGGTAGGGTCAGAGGGAGAAGCAGACTCCCTGCCGAGCAGGGAACCCGATGTGGGACTCGATCCTGGGACTCCGGGATCATGACCTGAGCCAAAGGCGGTCGCTTAACCAACTGAGCCACCAATTAGTAACTATACAGGAATTTTAAAATTAATTGACTTTTAAAAAGATACTGCCAGACGAGTCTGATTAATTCGCTGACCACAGCATTTCTTTTGACAAACCCTTGAGGTGTTCTTCTCCCACTTGAAAGTGGCAAGTTGTAACTCCTTAGTAATGGGGAGCATGCACACTAATAATAGCCAGCCCTTCTTCAAGTGTGGCCCACAGAGATTTTTCTGTTGTCAGGCCTCCCATTTCGTTCTGTAGCATCGTCCGCTCATACTGCAGGAGGTGAGTGAAGCGGCACTTGCCCTATGGCTTGGGCTGGGTGACAGTCCAGGACCCGAGTCTGGCCGTGAATCCAGGGGCAGTGGGCGGGTATGCTGGTGTAGGGCACCTGTGATTTCCTTGGGAAGTCAGATCTGCAGCGCGGCCCCTCAGTGACGACATGCATGCTGAGAGCGTGGTGGTCATTCCTGCCCCCGATGTGTATTAAGCCCTCTTCAGGCCAGGCTCTCTGTTCTGTGAGTGCTGAGGGAAATAGCAATGAGTAAGTTTCAGGCTCTACCTTCTAGGTAAGTGAGATAGGCCACAGTAATAATGACAGTGACAATATAACTCTTTATAGAACATCTTACATGCCAAACCCTTACACGGGCTTTGCATGGATTATCACGTTCAATCCTCATGACAACTATATAAGGTTGGTGTATATTATACCTATTTTACAAATAAGGAAACTGAGGCACAGACAATTTATGTATGCCCAAGGTGACACTGCTAGTAAATGATGGAGCCAAAACTCAGCTCCTGGCTAGCTAACAAAATGGATTTATTTTTTTACTTTTTGGAATCACAGAGTCCTTTGAAAATCTGTTTGTTTCCCAGAATAGTGATAATCTCTCTGTCTCTCTCTCACACACACACACACACACACACACACACACACACACACATTTATATGCAACGTCAGGAGGTTCACAGAATCCTTGCACCTGTCCCTAGGTTCTCCATGGAGCTCAGTATAACTACCCCAGCCTGCCTTGCACAGATGACCTCCACTTGAGGACATCAGTAGAGAATAACAAAGCACAGACATGAGCAAAGCAGTTCGGAGTAGCTGGGAGGTGGCATGAAGGATACCTAGGGAGGGCAAAGGAGGAAATGCAAGGCCAGGTGGGGGACCAGAGGGAGAGAAATGGCCCACTCTCCTGCTCTGGAGCCTGATCTGTCTTCTGGCCCCCATGAGGGCCAGGTGGCTTTCTTGGGCTTATCTTCCACTTTCTGATCTTACCATTCCTACAGCAGAGGTTCCTCAACCCCCTGATGAACTGGTTGGAGAAGACGGGAGTGGGGAACTCAGGGACCTGCTTCCTTAACCCGAGTTGGTAAATGACCACTTTCTTCTCCACCCGTGGGACCAGAGAGCCTGCAACATCCCCCCCTTGCTCTGCTTCCACACATTGAGAGGAACCTTGTGCCATTATCCTCAGGTCTTGCTGGCTACTGATATGCTAACTGCCCCATCCTCCTTTAATGTGTGGGGGTGCCGGTGTTTCAGATGCTTTCTCCAGTGCAGATTTTGTAGGCTGACAAAGCAGAAAGACAACCCTCCTCCCCAGTGGTTGACGGGGGAAGTGGATGAGTGTTCTGATAGGAAAGGAATAGGACACTGTGGGTTTTGGAACCTCAATTAGGGGGTCGGGGAAATCCTCCTAGGAGAAAGGCGGGGTTTAAGCTAAGACTCTGGTCAATTAGACTAGATAGAGTAGTAATATCTTGTGTTTCAAATGGAGTTATGTCTATTTTATATGTCTAGTGTTTATTTCCTCTTTTTTTGAAATGCTTATTCAAGTCTCTTGCTTATTTTTGTATTGGGTTGTCTGACTTTTTCTTTTCTTTTTTTTTTTCTTTAAAGATTTTTATTTATTTATTTGACAGAGAGAGACACAGCGAGAGAGGGAACACAAGCAGGGGGAGAGGGAGAGGGAGAAGCAGACTCCCCGCTGAGCAGGGAGCCCGATGCGGGGCTCGATCCCACTGGGATCATGACCTGAGCCGAAGGCAGACGCTTAACGACTGAGCCACCCAGGTGCCCCTGTCTGACTTTTTCTTAGTGGGACTCTTAGGAATTATTTATATATTCTGCATATGAGCTCTTTGGCGGTAGTGTTTTTGATAAAGAGGAGTTCTTTATTTCTTCAATGGAAAAAATTTTTTTAAGATTTTATTTATTTATTTGACAGAGAGAAAGAGCACGAGCACAAGAAGGGGGAGTGGCAGAGGGAGAGGGAGAAGCAGGCTCCCTGGTAAGCAGGGAGCCGGACTCAGGGCTCAGGGCTCAATGCCAGGACCCTGGAACCATGACCTGAGCTGAAGTCAGACACTTAACGGACTGAGCCACCCAGGCGCCCCTCAATGAAAAATATTTTATTGAACTGTAACACATATACAGAAAAAATACACAAATCATAAGTGTACAGCATAGTAAATTCTCAAAAAGTGAACACATTCATTAATGAGCACTTAGATCAAGAAACAGTATTTCCAGAAGTCTCCTCTCCCTGTCATTATCCTTCCATCATGGGCAACCATTATCCTGACTTCTAACACCAAATATTCGTTTTGCTAGGTAATCTTAATTTCAATGTAAATCTATGGATCTTTTCTTATAGTTAGTGCTTTTTGTGTCCCGATATTGCTCTGCTGAGATAAGAATATATTCCCCTCTGTTACCTTCTGGAGCTCGTTGTTTTGCTTTTCACATTTGGATCTATAATCCACTTGGAGTTATTCTGCATATAGTGTGATTTGCATATGTATTGCCAATTGTCCCAACATTAGTTATTAAAGATACTATTCCTTCTCCAGTGACCTGTGGTGATATCTTTATAATAAGTCAATGTCCTTAAATATGTGTGTCTGTTTCTGGACTCCCTACTCTGTTCCATTTCTCAATGTGTCCATTTTTATGCCAGTCCTTCACTTCTTATTTACTGTAGTTCTATAATAAATCTTGGTATCTGGTAGAGCACATCTTCCGACCCTGTTTTTCTTCAAGATGGACTGCTTTGAATTTCCTAATAATCATTTTGTCAAGTTCCATAAGAAAACCTAATGAGATCTTGATTAGAATTGCATTGATCTATAGATCAATATGGGATCATTCATATTTTTATAATATTGAATCTTCCAATACAGGAACATGATCTGTTTTCCCATTTATTTAGGTCTTTAATTTCTTTCAATAATATTTCATAGTTTACTTCATAGAGGACATCCAGATATTTTGTTAGATTTATTTCAGGTACTTATTCCTAGGTATCTTTGATGCTATTGTTAAAGGCAGTTTTTGCAAAAATTTCCTTTTCTAACTTTGATTTTTGTATATTGACTCTGTATTCAACATCCTTATTAAAATCTCTTATTAATTCTAATAGTTTATCTGCTAATTAAAAAATTATATACCCGGGTGCCTGGGTGGCTCAGTTGGTTAAGCGACTGCCTTCGGCTCAGGTCATGATCCTGGAGTCCCTGGATCGAGTCCCGCATCGGACTCCCTGCTCGGCAGGGAGTCTGCTTTGCCCTCTGACCCTATCCCCTCTCATGTGTTCTCTCTCATTCTCTCTCTCTCAAATAAATAAAATCTCTAAAAAAAAATTATATACCCAATCTTATACAAATAATTGCATTTTTTTTTCCAGTTGTCATAACTTTTTCTCATTTCCTTCCTTATTGTACTATATAGTCCTTTCAAAACAATATTGAATAGAAGTGGCATTTATAGGCATCCTCAGTATTAAAGGAAATCTTACAACACTTTACCATTAAATGTGATATTTACTTGGGCACCTGGTGCTCAGTTGGTTAGGTGTCTAACTCTTGATTTTGGCTCAGGTCATGATCTCAGGGTAGTGAGATTGAGCCCTGCGTAGAGCTATACACTCAGCGCAGAGTCTGCTTGTCCCTCTCCCTCTGCTCCTCCCCCTGCTTGTGCTCTCTCTCTATTTCTCTCTAAAATAAATAAATAAGGGACACCTAGGTGGCTCAGTTAGTTAAGCGTCTGCCTTCGGCTCAGGTCACGATCCCAGGGTCCTGGGATCAAGCCCCACATCGGGCTCCCTGCTCAGTGGGAAGCCTGCTTCTCCCTCTGCCTGCCGCTCCCCCTGCTTGTGTGTGCTCTCTCTCTGACAAATAAATAAAATCTTTTAAAAAATAAATAAAATCTTTAAAAATAAATAAATATGATATTTACTGTAGCTATTTTTTGGTAGCTATCACTTTTCAAATTAAGTAAGCTCCCTTCTATTCTTCTATTCCTCAGGGTCCTAAATGGACACTGATTTTAGCAAAGGCTTTTTCTGCTAATATGGAAAATTATATTGATTGATTCTATTTTTAAGATTTATTTTTTTGGGGGGGCGCCTGGGTGGCTCAGTCGTTGGGCGTCTGCCTTCGGCTCAGGTCATGATCCCAGGGTCCTGGGATCGAGCCCACATCGGGCTCCCTGCTCAGCGGGAAGCCTGCTTTTCCCTCTCTCATTCCCCCTTCTTGTGTTCCCTCTCTCACTGTCTCTCTCTCTCTCTGTCAAATAAATAAATAAAATCTTAAAAAAAAGATCTATTTTTTTATTTATTTGAGAGAAAGAGAGTGTGGGGGGCAGAGGCTGAGGGACAGGAAGAGAGAAACCTACACAGACTCTGCTGAGCATGAGCCTCATGTGGAGCTCGATCTTATGACCCTGAGATCACCACCTGAGCGGAAACCAAGAGTCAGCCACTTAACCGACTGTGCCACCCAGGTGCCGATTCTATTTTTTTTTTAAAGATTTATTTATTTGAGAGAGAGAGAGCATGAGAGGGGGGAGGGTCAGAGGGAGAAGCAGACTCTCATCTGAGCAGGGAGCCCGATCTGGGACTCGATCCTGGGACTCCAGGATCATGACCTGAGCCAAAGGCAGTCGCTTAACCAACTGAGCCACCCAGGTGTCCCCGATTCTATTTTTATAGTTTACAGTTTTATGCAGAAATTCTCAATCTTAATTTTTTAATCTCTTTGCACTTAGTACATTAAGATATTTTAAAGTTTATGCTATTTCAATATCTAAAGCCCCTTGTTCTATTCTCTATTTTTTTTCTGCTGGTTATTGTGTCTTACTTTCTTGTGTGCCTGGTTACTTTTTTATTATGAACTGTATATTATATTTACAATATTTCTAATAGAAATAATTGGAGACCTCCGATGGTGCTATCTTCCTCCAGATAGGATTTCTGTTTATTTCTACCAGGTACCTGGTAGCACTAATACCCTGGTCTGCTTGAGGCTACTCCACTCCAGAGAATTAACCCACTTGCAGAGACTGTGTGCAGATGAGCTGCACACCCTGCAAGGGCCTATCTACCTTCATTGCTAGGGTGTACTTTTGGGGATCCTAATATAGAGCTAGCCTGTTTGGTGGGCCCTGGTCTCTAATCCCAGCCCTGAAGCTTCCTTCCTGAGTTAGCAAATTCCCCCAGGAGAAATAGATCCAAATTTTGAACACATCTCCTTGGGCCTCTGTTTCTCTCTCACATCCTAATCCAGGTTTAACTTGTTAATTTCAAAATCTTCAGAAAGAAATTTTTATATTTTGTCTAGCTTTTTAGTTTTCAGTAGAAATATTACTGTGAATTACTTAGCTTGCAATTACTCAGTGTGGAAGTCCTTGACTGATTTTTCAATGTTAAAACAATTTTGCAAACCTCCCCCCCCAACAAAAAAAACCAACCTTGCTTTCCTGGAATAAACCTGATTTAGAAGAGATTTACCTTTTTTTAAAAAATATATTGCTGGAGGGATCCAGCTTAATATTTTGTTTAGGATTATTGATTCTATGTTCATCAGTGAGATTGACTTGTAATTTTGCTTTCTTGTATATCCTTAGGCTAACTTCATAAAATAACTTGGTATCTTTTGACATGTGTTTTGATTTTTTAAAATATTCTTTTGATATTCTCTGGAAAAATTTATGTAAGACTGGTACTATTTCCTCCTAAACCTTTGCTAGAATTTGCTGGTGAAGGCATCTGGACCTATCATTTTCTTTGTGGGAAAATTTAAATTAAAGATTTTTTAAATTAAAAATTTTTTAAATTAAAAAAAAATTTTTTAAATAGTTATAGGACTTTTCAGGTTTTTGTATTTCTCCTCTTATCAGTGTTGATTGATATGTTGTATATCCCTGGTAATTTGTTCATGTCATCTAAATTTTAAAGGTTATTGGCAAAAAGTTGTTCAGAATAATGTCTTTTAATCTTTTTTATGTTTGTAGCTTATACAGTGATGCCTTTTTCATTCCTGATAGTGGCTATTTTTGCTTTCGTTTTGGCAAGATCAATCTTTTTAGAGTTTTATTGGTTTTTATCAGTCCTTTGAAAGAACCAATATCTGGCTTTAATTATCCTTTCAGTTGTATGTTTGTTTTCTATTTCAATGCTTTCTCTTCTTACCTCTATTATTTCCTTCTATCTACTTTAATTTGCTGTTCTTTTCCTAACTTTTAGAGATGGATGCTTACCTCATTGAATTTAAGCTCTCCTTCCTTTCTGAGATGATGGTTAAGGTTATAAATTTCCCTGGAAGAAACACTTGGCCTGCATTCCATGAGTTTTGATGTGTAGTATTTTTTAAATCATTTTGTTAACATTTTCTAATTTTCATTATGATGTCTTCACTGACCCATGAGTTTTTCCAGAAGTATATTGCTGAATTTGCAAATGTATAGAGATTTTCTAGTTATATTTTTGTTGCTAATTTCTAACATTCATTGAGTTCACAGTTTATATCAATTCCAGTCCTTCAAAGTTTGTCAAAATTGCTCTTTAGCACTGTATATGGTAAATTTTTTGTAGATGTTCAACGAGTGCTTGAAATGAATTTTTATTATATAGTTTTTGCATTCATTGTCCTAAACATGTCTGTTATGTCAAGTTTGTTAATTTGTTTTCATCTTATATGTCCTTACTGGGATTTTTTTGCCTACCTGTTTTATAAATTCTGAGAAAAATGTATTAAAATCTCCCACTATGAATGTAAATTTGTCTGTTTCTCCTTCAATTCTGTCCACTTTTGATTTTTGCATTTTGAGGTTATATCAGTAAATGCACACAAATTTATATTTATATTTTATTGGTGAATTGAGTCATTTATTACTACGAAATGACCCTCTTTGTCTCTCTTTTTCTACTTTATTTGATATAACTACACCCATTTTCTTCCGGTTAGTATTCGCATGTGATATCGTTTGCATTCTTTATGTTCAACTTTCCTGTATCTTATATTTTCAGTGTGTCTCTTCAAACAGCATAAAATTGGGTATTGTTTCTTGATCCAGTCTGACAAACTTTTAGCATTGTCGAATTATCAAGTTGGACAATATTTGTTTGTTAAATGGAACATTTGGTCCATTTATATTTAGGAATAATTTACATGTTGGTTTTAAATCTGTCATCCTACTCTTTTTTATTGTCCAACCAATTCTGTGTTCTTTCTTTTTCTTTCCGTACTTGTTTTCTTATGGACTGGTTACTTTTGGTTATTCCTATTTAAGCTTTCCTATTTTAGTTTTGAACACACATACTCTTGCTATTTGTTAGTGGCTCCCCAGAAAACAACATGAACTCTTGGCTTCTCATACTAGTGTGTTAATTAGCTACTTTAACTGTTCTCCGAGGCAACACAAAGACCGTGAACACTTTCACTCCGTTTATACCCCTCCTCATTTAAATGTTATTTTTGCTTGTATTTCTGTTTAGTTTTTTCATCTCCACAATACATTATTAATATTGTTTTATATAGCCAATGTTTACTTAGAATTATTCATATGTTTGCCATTTTTGTTTTTCTTTATTCATTCTTGCATCTCCAGCTTTCCCTCTGGGATCACATTCCTTTGGCTTGAAAAAGATCTTCATTTAGGGCAGGACATATTTTGGCCTATTCTCTGTTTTAGTTTGTCTGAAAATTCTATTTCACATCCATTCTTGGAGTCAGTGGGGAATAAATGACATATATCTTAATTTAAAAAATGGATAAATTCCTAACATGTGCTTTTTAGGGCCAAGTGAGGAGAAATAATGGTAGAAAGCCTAGGAACCAAGAAAACCCTTGGCTACACATGTATTTCTCTTATGCTGCCTTGAATTTTTCACCTCATTGGTTATACTGCCTGAAATCCCACCAGTGACTTCTGTTTGGTTTGATCTGCTTTACCAGATCCCTCTCTCAAAGCAGAAAAACCCACAGCGTTGTGAAGAGACCAAGGCATGAATGCCTACTTAATTTAACTAGACTGTTTTCTTTCTAACACCCTATAGGACCCTGTCCCACTCAAAACATAAAATTGTTCAAGGAAGGAGGAGAATGACCAGTAATTTGGAAGAATTTCTCCCAAAATCAGGTTGGGAAGGGCCACAAAATAGAGAGTTCAGGAGAGCCTGGAAGCATTAGCCCTGGGAAGTGGGGTAGGTCAAGGACAAAAGTCAACTCTATTGCACTCAGACCAAGGAGGACAGGGCATTGGTTCTGTTCAGACTTGAGGTATGAGTCCCCCAGAACGCAGCTTTAGAGTCTCCTGAACACACAGATTGTTTACCTTCAACAACCCAGGGCTCCTGAGAACTTGACCTGTACTCCCACGTGGGCAGGACCTCCAGAGCGCTGACACCACCCTCACAGGCGTTATCAAATTTCTCTTAGAAGGGCAGCTGGAGCTGTGGAGAGCAGGGCAGGCCCTGAGAACAGAAAGACACAGTTTCAAACTCGAAGAAAGCTGATCTATTTTATCTTGAATAAGTCCTTTGCCAAAACCAGCTCCTATTCAAACACTGTGCCCATTATCTGAAAACCAGGCCACTGGGAGGTAGGTCCAAAGAAGGTGATGGCTATATTGTTTTTTCCCTTTGGCTCTTGGAACAACTGGATGTGGCAGATCACTTGGAACTTTAGAGAAAGGAAGCGAGGGGAAAGGAGAGCGGATCACGTACAGCACACCTCCGTGAGAGGCAGGAATACCAGAGTTAACAGCTCAGACTCTGGGCCATTTTAACATCTCTGGCTAACGAGGGGTCCAGAGGATGAGGAAATTAACCAACCCCACTTCCCCCATGGCTGTGCTGGGAGCACGTGGCCCCGCGGGGGGAGCAGGGTCTGGGTACTAGGAGAGAACTCTGGCCAGGCTCCCTGAAGATCCCCCCCATGTTGCAAGCCCCACCGGGGAGAAAGGCAGACTAGTCAGCCCTAAGGACGGGGCGTCCTCCCCACCTTCAAAGAATCCCTGGAGCCTGGAAGAAGAAGAGCACACAGAGCAGGGACTTCTCATGGGCCCTGACCTAAGCCATCAGTTGAAAAACATGGGAAAATAAAAAGAGCAGTTTACACCCTGATTTGAGAGGGAAAAAGTAAAAATAAAAAATAAAGCATTGTATTCATTTGCTTACATGTTTAAGAATACAGAAAATATCCATTAAATCCCTCTAGTAATCAATAAAATGCTTCCACTCTATTGAGCTCAAAAAACAAATATTTAATGGTGAGATTGTAAGTATTAGCAGGTATACAGGGAAGTTTTGGGGGAGTCGGTGAGCTCATCCAATGTCCTGGGCCGCCTCCATGAGGACCCCCGGCCTCCCAGTTTGGGCTGGAACTGAGGATTGAGCCTTCTGGTTCCTACTCTATGTCAGCGTCTCTGATCCTCCTTTCCTGCCCATGACCAAAATCTCAGTGCCTTCCAGACCTTCTCATTCCTAAGACCCAGACTCCCTCAGCCACCCTAAGGTTCTCCCTGCTCAGACCACAGTGGGTCAGCATGGCCTGGTCCTGCACTTCTTGGCTGGGGTTCAGAGGCTCAAGGTGCAGCGGGGCTGGCCTCTAGACAATGCCCCCCCACCCAGGAAACCCAGCACAGTTGCCACCTGACTCTCTCAGAGATATATATATTTTTTTGTCTAAGAGTATAATAGCATTTGTTAATATGCTTGACAAACACAGGTTTTTGGTTTTCCCCATTCTAGGTTTAAAAAATATACTAAAATCTAATAAACAGTCTATGAAAGTATAACATACAGAAAGTATACAATCTGTAAGCGGACAGCCCATTAAGTTATCACAGAGTGAATGTAACCAGCATCCAGCCCAAGAAATAGAACAGGAAGTCATAGCTAAATCCACAGCTAAACACAGTTTTCGAAGTCTTGCCACGGGCCAGATAGAATTGAGTGTCAAGCTCTTGTGCCCTGTACTCTCCTACTCCTCTTCTGACACGTCCTGGAAGGATTTAAAAATCTTGTACAGTATTGCCTTTGGCTGTGATCTAACTGCACAGAGATCGTCTCTCACACCAGACTGAAGGCTTCTGGGGGCAGGATCCCAGTTACCTGTTAGGTACTCGGGAGGTATGGTTTGAGTGACTGAATGAATCCAGCCCCGGGCATACTGGTGTCCCAGGCCCGGGTCCGAGGCTCTTAGGCCTCATCTGCCCTTTATAGATGTCACAGCAGGCAGAACAGTTGACCAGGGTCCCGACTCAAACACTAGAGCATTATTCTCTCTACCCTACAGAGACAGAGCTGGGACGTAGAAAGTAGTAATCCAGCTCATCGATTCATGCAACAAACATAGATTAAACATCCACCTTGGTCCAGGAAAGACACATAAAGCAGACACAGTCTCCACCCTCAGGAGGAAAGCTCAGGCACCCATCACGTCAGGAAGAAGCAAGAAAACCCTCATAGAATTTGAATTACTGCTTCACCCTGCTCCAGGCAGGCTGTCCCCAACGGGGTTGCTGACCCAGTGGTAGATAGAATGTGCCTTCACCAGCTGTCTTTGCTCTTCTGCAGGCCCCGCTATCCCGGTAGGCGTGGACGTGCAGGTGGAGAGCCTGGACAGCATCTCAGAGGTGGACATGGTATGCAGTGGCCTCGGCGGGGCAGCCTCGGGTACGGGGTTCCGAGGTTAAGGTTCTGTGAGCACCTGTGGCTGCATGGGTGCGGGCCGTGCCTGGGTGGGCAGAGCCAGGGCTGCAGGGGATAAAACTGGGAGCCGGAAGTTGGCTCAGGTGCAGCGAAGCATAGAGCAGAGGTTCTTGACCGGATGGGTAACTCAGGGAGTTGGTTAAATGCAGATTCCTGGGCCCCACCAGAGACTTCCCGAATCAGTCTCTGGGAGTGAGGCCCAGCTCCTTACATTTGGACACACCCCCCACATGATGGGACCGGTCAGATGAACCCCACTTGGAGGATCACGGGAGGTGGACATTTTCAGACAGAAATTCTGCCGTTCTCTGCTCTCCAGTGCCCGCCTGGAGCATGGCTCCCCTATGCAATCCTTGGCAGTGTCCACCAAGATCTGGTAGTAAGGGAAGGCTTTTTTTTTTTTTAAAGATTTTATTTATTTATTTGAGACAGAGAGAATGAGAGAGAGCACATGAGAGGGGGGAGGGCCAGAGGGAGAAGCAGACTCCCTGACGAGCAGGGAGCTCGATGCGGGACTCGATCCAGGGACTCCCGGATCATGACCTGAGCCGAAGGCAGTCACTTAACCAACTGAGCCACCCAGGCGCCCCAAGGGAAGGCTTTTGAAGAAGGCTTGTTTCAGTTGAGACCTGAAGGATGGCTAAGGAGACAGCGTGGGGAGGGCCAGAGCAAGAGCAGGGGAAGGGCCCCGGAGGCAGAAGAAACAGGAGGTTTACAAACACAAACTGAAACAGTGGAGCACAAAGTGAGGAAGGGGTGGGGGTGGAGGGTTGGGCGGGTGGAGGTGCTCCCCTCCACGGGTGACCCTGCAGGACAGCCAGAAGGGGTAGAGCAGAAGTGGGCCCTACACTTTGAGACCACCACCACCACCAGGTGTCTTTCCACCCTCGCTCCCAGAAGAGGATGTTTGGGGTACTTATTTGTTCACACTTGTAACTTAGCCCTGGTATCCTCTGGTTGTGGCAGAGGTGCAAGACTCTTGGTTTAAGGCAGGAGACACTGTTTAACAGAACGAGCTTTCAGGCTGAAGTTATAGTAGATACGCAGCTGTCCATGCCTTCATCCATTCGTTCCCCCCCCCATTTTTCCATCCTGCAACTATTTATTGATCACCTACTCTGTGCCTTGCCAGGTACCGAGTTAGGGCCTGGGGATTCAATGGCACGCAGGACACAATTCTGCCTTCAAAGATTCTGCAAAACCCACGATAGAAACTCTCTTAAACAGGACACTTGACTGTGCAGGTTTCTCCCAGTGTCCACTCACCTGAGACTGAATGCTCAGGAACAGGAAAGGAGCCCCGTGTGCACGAGTCTGGGTGAGAGAGAGCAGGACGCCGCGGAAATCCGCCCCGCTGGCCCCCATGCCAGGCTGTCCGCCTCACAGCTGCAGGTTTCATTCGCGACGCCTGCAGGAGGGGCTGCTCACCGTCCAGGGCTCCCACCTCACGATGCACGACAAGGAGCCAATCTCTTCCCTACTGTAGCAGCACGGCGGAGGCGGGCAGCCACCGTCCTGCGGCTGAGCCTCAGGTGTCTGTTGCTTTGGTTGCTGACAGGTTGATTGTAAGAGAGGAAGCTTTCTAAGCACTTCTGTCTGGTGTCATCTCGGGCTCCCACAGGACTTCACCATGACCCTGTACCTGCGGCACTACTGGAAGGATGAGAGGCTGTCCTTTCCCAGCACCAGCAACAAGAGCATGACCTTCGACGGCCGGCTGGTAAAGAAGATTTGGGTCCCCGACGTCTTCTTTGTTCACTCCAAACGGTCCTTCACCCACGACACCACCACTGACAACATCATGCTGAGGGTGTTTCCGGACGGGCACGTCCTCTACAGCATGAGGTAACTATCCACGGCCTCACTGCTTCTTGGTCCAACGCCATTCTAATATGTCTAGTCAGTCTCTTTGGCCCTGAAGAGTTTGTCACCGTGGTTGGGCCTGTGGGCTATACAGATGGCCGGAGCCTCCTGATGTCTGTTAGAAGTCTCTGAAGATGAAATGGTCACCCTAGTAGCCAGCGACTTCCCAGTCATCGGGGAGCTTAAGCTCGGGTTAGGAGACTAGGTGGGCCTGAGTGAGTTGAGGGAGTCAATGACCTTCTGTGTACCTTCCACCCCCGAGAGCCTAGGATTCCAGTTCATTGGTTATAAAGATTTAAAAAGACAACAAGAGCAACTGTTTATTGAGTGCTACTGCAAACTGGCTTCTGGGCTAATGAGTGATTACGCAGGCTTATTCCCCATCTCCTTGGCCTGCTTGTACGGTTCACCAGAAGTCACTGCTAACAGCCTTGGGGTGGTGGGGCGGGGGGGGCGTAACTTCCCAGGCATCTCTAGGGGAGGTGGCCCACTGGCTGAGGGCCACGCGCAGAGAAGGGTGCAAGTGTGTGCCCCTGACAGCCAATACCTTCAGTGGCTGGGGCCCCGCAGAGCACTGCTAACATGTGCTGCGGAAGACAGAACTCTAAAAGTTAGAGTCTAGCAACGTAGAGACCGGGGTTTCCAAGCTTCTGCAGTAGGTGTGAGAAGGCACTGCTCTTGGTCGTGTCGGGGTTCTCCTCACTCCGGGCAGGCGTATGAGCCAAGAACTCGCTGCACGAGCCAACATGCTTGTTTGGGTTGCCTAGGATTACGGTCACTGCCATGTGCAACATGGACTTCAGCCACTTTCCCCTGGACTCCCAGACCTGCTCTTTGGAGCTGGAAAGCTGTAAGTATCAGTGTTCCTAGTGACAAATCTCCGCCTCGTTCCCGCCCCAATCTCTGTGCCATTTTAGTAACCGTTGAGACTGAGTACTGCCTGCCCGTGGTAAGGCCTGTTCACTCCGAGGCTGGTGTAGGATTTCCCTGTGCCTTCAGCCACCTCAGAAGCAAAGGAGCCGAACTAACTTGTTTTCCTTTCCCAAAGATGCATATACAGATGAAGATCTGATGCTGTACTGGAAGAATGGGGATGAATCCCTGCAAACCGATGAGAAGATCTCCCTGTCCCAGTTTCTGATTCAGAAATTTCACACCACTTCCAGACTGGCCTTCTACAGCAGCACTGGTAGCTAATGTTTGCCGCGGTCTGATCCGAACGTGGAAGAAAATACATTAGAACCCTCCAGCCCTGAACTTTTCCCCTGCCGATGAGAATGAGTGTGTATTCCTAAGTAATGCATAGTTCTGCAAAACATAAGCAACACTTGGAAGCAGAAATTTAAAAAGTTGCCGTCCTCTGAAATCCGATGGCCAGAGGCAACCACTCCTAACAATTTAGCACACACCCTTGCAAACATCTTACTTTAATGATATAATTGTTTTACATGCTATTCTGTAGTCTGATTTGTTTGGCTTAATGATATGGATGATAGCTTTCCGAGGAAATGTATCTATTACCTATATTTAGATCTATAGATTTATTTATTTACTTACTTACTTTAGTAGCGGAGGGGCAGTGGGGAGGGAGGATCCCAGGCGGACTCCCCACTGAGCACGGAGCCTGACTCAGGGCTCCATCTAAGGACCCTGAGATCATGACCTGAGCCGAAATCAAGAGTCGGACGCTTCACCAACTGAGCCACCCAGGCACCCCTATAGCTTTATTTTTAATGTTTAGTGTAACTCATCCTGGACCCCGGGGCTGTGTTTGAGGTTTTGAGAGGGTGCACCTGTCAGTCCTCTAATCTCACTGTTAGTTCTTGTCCTCGTTTCTGAGGGCTGTCATAATAAACACAACCTGGGGGCCTGAAGCAACAGGAATGCATTTGCCCACAGTTCTGGAGGCCAGAAGTCTGCGGGCCATGCTCCCCCCTTAGGCTGTAGAGAGGAACCCTTCCTTGTCTCTTACTAGTTTCTGGCGGGTTCTGCGTTGCTCTAATGCCTGCCTCGGTCATCACGTGGCATTCTCCGTGTCCCTCTCTGTGTCTTCCCATGCTGCTGTTTCTATGTATCTGTGTCCACAGAATTTCCGTCCTTTGTAAGGCTACCAGCCATTGGATTACGGCCCACCCTAATCCAACGTGGCCTCAGCTCATCTTGCTTCCATGTGCAAAGACCCTATTTCTAAATAAGGTCACATTCACAGAAACTGGGAGAGAGGACTTCAACATATCTTTCTGAGGGACACAGTTCACCCCATGACAGCCCTGCAGTAGCTACAGGACACTAGGGGACTTCTCACTTCTTCCCCCCTTGTCCGTGTGCCAAGAAGCCCAGGCCCTTCTGTGCGGAGCTTTTGTGCCACCGTCTGCCCCTGCACGTCCCCCATCTATCTCCCTGTTCCCCTCCCCCCACGCACGCCCCTCTGTGCCCAACATCAAACACTGAAAAAGACCAAGCCTCAGTCCAGGTGGTTTTAGTGTCTGGACAGCCCAAGCCGGCTTCCCTTTGTGCCCAGAGGGCTCGTCCTCATCACTCTCTTCCCTTCTCCACGGGTATGTATTGCCACACAATCTTCCTTTCTCATCTCTTCTTAGCAAGTTCAAACCCAATCTCTTTCTAAAACCATTTTTAAGAATGTCTTCTATAACTTTTTACTATGTGTCACTGTTTTGAGAACTTTATTTGAATTAACTAATTTCTACCCAACAAACCTATGGTGTAGATATTATTATCCCCAATTTACAGATGAGAAAACTGAGACTCAGAAGGATTAAGTTGCTTATTGAAGTTGCACAGCTAGTAAGTGGCCAATCTGCCTTAGTCACTATGTGTACTCCCCTTAGATGTTTTCTATATTCAAATAGAAGCTTGTTTGTTTGTCTTGAGCCTTTCTAGAGTCCAGATTAAAATGCATCTTCCTCTCCCATTACTTACTATGTACCAACAAGCAGGTTTATCACCCCCCCCTCCCCCCACAGGGGCTGCGATCTCACCACAGAGTGCTGTTTGGAACACAGAGTATACATTTTTAAAGCTCTTGGTTCCCTCCTAGTGTTTCCAAGGCAACTCTCCCCGGTTTTCTTAAGAGGAAAGGATAGTGGAATAGTCCTTCACAGAATGAAGGCAACTCTCAGCCCTTCCAGAAAGACCCTGTACAAACCTAATGTGATTTGCTTCATGGGTGCCAATTTAAATAGGGAAAATAAAGCTGACATGACGGGGCAAAGGTTGTGGGATGAATAAATGATTAGGAGTGTCTGTCACATCTGAAGATGTGTCTATTCACTCCACTAAAAGCACCTAGCTCATTCAGACAACCAAGGAACCTACATAGTAACGGTGTGTCAAGCTTGTCTGGACCCATCCTATTGTTCCAGCCTTTCCCTAGTGATCCAACCCTCCCCTTACCTGATTCAGCGGTAACTTTCCACACCAGCCAGGTAGCCCTTGTTCCCTCAGCAGCGTTTTCCTGGGGGCAGCCTGCGGTCCTCCTGCATCCAAACCACCAGGGGAGTGTGTCTGACAAGCAGATTTCCGGGCCCTGTTGCAAGCTACTGAGTCAGTATCTGAGGTTGGGCTGAAATGGGAGTGGGGTGGGTGTGTGCACACAGTTGCAAAAGTTACTTTTGACATTGATATTGCCCTTAACGCCATCCTTGGTCCCAGTGATTGGGTATCGATCTTGTGGATCATTTGACACCTTACCATTTTAGTCCTTGTTTACAACCATCCATCCCATGATATATGTGGAGACTGGCTGAGCTGACCAATCTACAACCGAGGGGACAGTGACAAGAGCCCAGCTCTGCTGGCTCCTGCCTCAGTGGTATTGGACTCAACAAAATAGAACCACTCCCACTTCTTAGCCTCCTGAGCAGTGAATCCTCAGGAAATATGGTTGGGGGTTGCAAATAACAAATACAAACCAGCAACTAAACCTAGATCTCTCGTTCTACCTTTCCCCAAAATGTTAGGGGAAGAGAAGAGAAGTTAGGTACATTGAATAAAACAGTACATGCATTAGATACTGGCAAGACACTTATTAATAGAGGGCTTAGATTTTAGAAAGGAGATGTATTATAGTAAGTCAACTGTTCATTAACTTCTAACTTTCTGCTGAAGAGGAGAGCAGTGGGGGTGGGGGTGGGGGAAAGGCTCCCAGGGAAGGAGTTTGTTTTTACCTCTCAAACTGAACCTCACTGGCTTCTTCCTGTGTCCCCCAGGCTGGTACAACCGTCTGTACATTAACTTCACGTTGCGACGCCACATCTTCTTCTTCTTGCTCCAAACCTACTTCCCTGCCACCCTGATGGTCATGCTGTCCTGGGTGTCCTTCTGGATCGACCGCAGAGCTGTGCCCGCCAGAGTTTCACTGGGTAAAAGCATGTGTTAAGGTGTGGGGGGGTGGCTATATTTTCCAGCAGGTCACTATAAAGAGAAAAGGTAAAATCATCATTCAGAGTTAACTGATGGTTTGTCAGAGCCCAAAGGAGCAAACTTCCCTCCCGCTTGCAGCCTTCACCATTCATACGCTGCTCTGCGTTTCCTAGACTACTTCACGGAAACCACAGGGAGCTAAAACTATGTCAACTTTGCTCCAGTCACTTCAGAAAAATAAAGCCTGTTTGGGGGATAGACTTCCCCCACCAGCAGTCTTAGAGCTCAGTACTTCGATAAATAAGACAATTCTGCAAATGCCAAAACCTTATTCTGTAAATACAAAAATTGTGTTTGCTGGCCTTGGTTGGACAGACTGAGAGTTTGAAGGCAGGGCGGGGATTAGGGGATTTGGGGGGAGGGAGAGGGCTGTACTCCCCAGAGTTGCGGTTTTAGTCCTCCCAGACCCGAAATTCCAGAGGGACCGTTAACAGCTCATCATTGTCAATTTGGAGGAAATCGGCTTGGGCTCCAAGAAATGTGAGGGTTTAACCAGCAAGGCACAATGAAGCTAGCGTGACAGGCCTCCAGGAATTTCCACAAGTCTTCGGAGACTTAATCAGTGTGGCTCAGATGAGAGGGAATGAGGCCATTCCCCGCGGCGTGGCCAGTTTCCTTTAGAGGGGTCCTTCACTCACTGTTTCGAATTCCACATCCGACGGGGTCCTTGGCGGAGCGCTGCTGATCCGGTGAGCCCCATCACCCACCCCCAGGCCCCGGAGGGGCTGACAGGCAAAGGGGACCAGCAGCAGCGAGCTGGCCGGGGCGTGGGGGGCGGGGGTGTGTGTGTGGAGCCGCCGGCTGCTTGTGGAGCAGATCCACAGCGTGGATGTTTCCATGCCCCGGGGGATTTCCCGCTGGGTTTCCGACAGGGAGAATGTAAAACGGTGACTCCGTGCCACGTGGGGCGCAGTTGCGTACCCTCGTCAGCGGCTGACCTATCGCTGCATGTTGCAGGTATCACCACCGTGCTGACCATGTCCACCATCATCACGGGCGTGAACGCCTCCATGCCCCGCGTCTCCTACATCAAGGCGGTGGACATCTACCTCTGGGTCAGCTTCGTGTTCGTGTTCCTGTCGGTGCTGGAGTACGCAGCCGTCAACTACCTGACCACCGTGCAGGAGCGCAAGGAGCGCAAGCTGCGCGAGAAGGCGAGCCCGGTTTCCTTCACCTCCTCGTCCGAGCCCAGGCTCCTGGTTGCACGAGAAGGGCGGGGACGGAGGGTGGCGTGCAGAGGGGGGCGATGTTTGCGCAAAATGGAGGAGGGTCTGTTTTAGAATAGGTTCTAGCTTCTTCCATCGAGGATCCCAGAAAGAAAGTCTTTGGACCAAGACTAGGAACAGGGAGACTTGGGGGGTCTTAGGTCCAACTCTGCCGCCGAGGCTGGGCCTCTGTTTCCTCATCTCTAAGAAAGGTAGAGCGCAGTCCTCACCTCGCCTTCGTCCCAGGGTCGTTGTAAGGATTACGCGACGTAATGCATGCAAAAGTTGTTTTGAAACTGCGGGGTTCTGGACAGACATAAAGTATCACTATTACTACTGGACATGTTTAGGGAAGGTGCCTCCAGGTCCTTTGACTGGACAAGGGGAGAGTTCTAGAATTAAAAACTCCTGTGTTTATCTGTGCTCTGACCAATTAAAAATTCAGTCACATACAACTTTAGCCTTTAGATTCATTGGAAATAACTACGCATTCTGCACGGTACTGCACTATCCTATACCAACCTACGTTAGTTACGAGATAGGATACAAATGGGGGAATTCAGGCAATGTGCGTGGGCCTTTGACACAGGGAGGGAAAGTCCACTTCATTCATATTCAGACTCTTATTAATCACAGTAGGAAATAAAATGCCAACTTGTTACCAAATCATTGGTCATCATTGCACTTATCAAAATGGGTGTTCAGCTAGAAGGTATAAAGATCAGGGGATATGAAAATCCCACATTTATGCACATCTAGGTGGCTTAATATAAGGGAGCTTTAAATTTTAGGAAAAGAGGATGTGTTGCCTTTTCAAAAATAGTCTTTCAATGACCACATTATACCTAAATATATTATATTAAATATATATATTTTAAAATATATTCTAAACATTCTACATATTTTCTAAATATTTCTACACTGTCTCCAAATAGGCTAGATTGTTTAAGAATTTATTTTTAAAATTCTATTCAAACCTTTTTTACTTTAGCATTTAAGTATTCATTCAAATTTTCAATAATCTGCACATTGGTCATTGTCAAGTGCTTTTGGATTATATTTAAACATTTTTGATTTATAACCCAGTGAACTTTCCTGTATAGAGCTGTTGGAAAAACAGCAAGCCTTCACCTGACAAGTATGGGCCCATGAATTGTTAGCCAGTGCCAGCTGGTAGCCCACTCTTTGCTGACTCAAATTGTAGGGAGAAGTGAAACTATTTCCTTCCTTCCAACTTATAATTTCTTATCAACATTTTCATACTTGCAGAAACTGTTGAAAAATAGAATAATGTTCATCCATAGACTCTGTACCTACACCCAACGTTGTTAATGTTTTGCCATTTTTGTGTGAGCTCTTTCTCCATATAAATGTACTTTTGTCCGTGCAGTTGAACCATTTAAAAATGCACTGCAGGCACCGTGACCTTTTATGCTTAAATGTAACTCTTTAGAATAGGACACTCTCCTAACTAATCATCTTTTGATTCATGCACAAAGACGTGGAGACCCACGACTGGAATCAGAATGTATGGGTTTATTATTTTTTTAAATATATTTTTAAAAGATTTTATTTATTTGAGAGAGAGAGAGAGAGCGCAGGGGGAGAAGCAGAGGGAGAGGTAGAGAGAGGATCTCAAGCAGACTCCGAGCTGAGCGCAGAGCCCGAAGCAGGGTTCAATCCCATGACTCTGAGATCATGACCTGAGCCAAAGTCTAGAGTCAGAGGCTTAACTGACTGAGCCACCCAGGTACCCCCAGAATGTGTGCATTTAAAGTCCTGACTCTGACACTAGCTGTGTAATCTCAGGAGAATTGTATAGCCTCACTGGGTCTTAGTTTTTGCCTCTGCAAATGGGGACGTTTAGACTAAATCAGTGATTCTGGACCTTCACTGCATTGTAGAATCACCTAGGGATCTTCAAATTTATTATGTTTTTTTTTTCCATCTTTTTAAAATTTAAATTCAGTTAGTTAACATATAATGTATTTTGGTTTCAGAGGTACAGGTCATTGATTCAGCAGTCTTATATAACACCCAGTGCTCATTATATCACATGCCCTCCTTAATGTCCATCACCTAGTTACCCCATCCCTCCCAGCTCCCCTCCCCTCCAGCAACCCTCAGTTTGTTTCCTATGATTAAGAGTCTCTTATGGTTTGTCTCCCTCTCTGGTTTTGTCTTGTTTTATTTTTTCCTCTCTTCCCCTATGATCCTATGTTTTGTTTCTTAAATTCCACATATAAATGAGATCATATGATAGTTTCAAATTAATTAGTTGAGAGTGAAGCCTGGATGTGGCCATTTTAAAGAGCTCCCTGGGTGATTCTAATATGCAGAGACTTCTAATATGTAGAGAGTCGTTGGACTGAGTGATCTCTGGAGGTCCTTCTAGTTCTGCCTTTCTGTGGCTCTGAGTTGCCATGGGGCTTTGCTCTGGGCCCAGGCCACCACCTCTGCCCCTCCACAAGGCCTAAACATGCCTGATACCTTCCTTGTGTTTGCTGCCCGCAGTTCCCGTGCATGTGTGGAATGCTTCACTCGAGAACCATGACGCTGGATGGAAGCTACAGTGAGTCTGAGGCCAACAGCCTGGCCGGGTACCCAAGAAGCCATTTTCTGACAGAAGAAGAAAGACAAGACAAAATAGTGGTCCACCTGGCTCTGAGCAATGAATCCAACTCCTCCAGGAAGAAGGGGCTTCTGAAGGGCCACATGGGTCTTCGCATCTTCCAGAACACCCACGCCATTGACAAATACTCCAGGTTGATATTTCCTGCCTCTTACATATTTTTCAACTTAATTTATTGGTCAGTGTTTTCCTAGGGGCCCCGAGGCTGTGCCTGGGAAAGGACATAGATATCTATGGGGCCTGGCCAGCCATCTGCACATGGAACTGCTGAACATGCTCCCCTCACCAGATGGAGCGGTAGCTCCTAGGCCACCATGGCAGTGCTCCCTCCCAGAGGGGGCCCTCCAGCTGCCCTTCCCCTGACCACATGGGTTTGCTCCTCATTAATGCTGTGTTCTGTATCCTACTTCATACCTCTTTCGGACCTCTTCTGTTCTTGTGTGTAAAAAGGTTCACAAGAGCCCCCTCCTATAAAAAATGACTCAAATGCCTCCTAGATAGTCTGAGACCCTAATGAAGCCTAGGATTCAGTTGTGAGGGGACAGGAAAGAATAAAAGGCAAGCTTAGGGGCTTTCTGGATAGGAGATGGGAAATAAGATTCAAAATAGGAATAAAAAAAATCTGTAAACCCATACAACTAGATTAAGTGCCTACCTAGGAAGGAAAAAAAGCTCAGATCCCAGATAGGAAACGAGACCTGGGTGAGTCTGGCAACTCTCCTGATTTTGCAGTCCATTCAACCATTCATTAAATATTGAGTACCGACCCTGTGCCAGGTCCTGTGGAAATGAACAAATAGAAGTCTCTTTTCTTAGAGAACTTCTCTAAGCCTGGACTCATTCTATGTATGGCAGAGGGTACTTCTGCCCTTCCTCAACCCCCACTGACCCCACAGATCCATTCTGTTTGCTGGTGCTTTTACTCCTAGGTCTGTCTGGAAAAGCACTTCCAGTCTCCTATGAGACCCTCATGAAACCAGCTTAATACCGTTCTCCTGGAATCTCCATGCAAGACAAGTCTAGTGGTGGGGAGAGGAACAAGGACTTGAGAATTGGTGATAACAGAACTTGGTCTTGGCGAGGAAGGAGCCATGGGTCTGCTGTGGAAATGTGTTCCATATTCCATCCTACCTCGCTTTCTGGGCTTCTCTCCCAGCAGACAGGTGTCCTTAATAGTCCCTGTGTCCGGGCCCTGCCCCCACCCCTGGAACTCTACCTAGCCAGATATGCCCTGCACCCTCAAATGATTTCTCCCTTCCACAAGGTAATGACTTTCCTCTAATGTAGCTAAGCTCAGATTAGAAAAGCAATCTGATTAATTGAATCTGCAGTGAGTCGTGAATGACCATTTCTCTTAACCCTAATTTAGGTTATGGGTTGCTGGTTAACTCAAGTGAACCTCTAATTGGTAGTATTTATAGAAATATAAAGAACACGATTTTGAGAAGGGGACCTTCTCTTTACATTACAGCACTTGGAATCAGAGGGCTGTTCTGGGATAGAGAAGGAACGCCCAGCTCAGATTTCTTGCTTAATAAAAGAAGTTGTTCTGCTCTCTCCCTCTACCTACTGCCCCTTCCACCCTCCTGCCCAGGATCTGGGCGTCTGGTCCTTTGGTCACGAGTGTACAAATGGTACAGCTAAAGACAGGATAACCCTGCCTTAAGTCAGGTGAGCTCTGGCCTGTGGAGTCTCCTCCACAGCTCCTGCCTCCCAGGGGCAGGGATTTTTTAGTTCCTGAGGATTAGAGCCAGGTGGGTACCAGAGCCTCCTGAAGTTTCAAGTCAGGGGCCTGTGGATCCCTGATCCTCTCCACCCCTCACCACAACTGCCACCCAGTTGCCCTCTCCATCCCAGCTTTTCCACTCCTTCCTCTCGGCAGTCCCCCACCCATTTCCTCTGTTCCCATACCTACTCCCAGGAGTGGTCCTCGTCCCAGACACACCCTTGCCACCACTCCATTGCCCATGTGGAGGACCAGACTCCCATCCCTGGCTACCAGCCCTGATCTGAACTGGGGCCTGCAGCCCACCAGTCCAGAGGGGGTGTGATCAGGGCAGGGATTTGAGGAGATATACTCTCAACAGGACAGGCTCTCGGCAACAATATGACATGGGTTATCTTGGGCAACTGCAAGTTTGGGAGGTTCCCAAGACCACTCTCAGGTTTAATAATTAGCTAAGAGGACTCCCAGAACATAGAAAAACCATTATACTCACAGTTATGGTTTAATGTGGCAAAAGGATACAGATTAAAATCAGCAAAGGAAAGCAGCATTTACAGCAGGATGCAGGAGAAACCAGGTATAGAACTTCCAACTGTTCTCTCGCAGTAGAACTGCACAGTTAGTGCTTCTTTCTTCCAGCAGTGAGTGTGACAATATGCACCAAGTATTGCCAACCAGGGAAACTTAGCCAAGTCCATCAAGGTGTGCAGAGTTTTTACTAGGGGTCGGCCATGTTTATACAGCTAACTGCTTGCCTGGCTGACCTTAGTTTCTAGCCTTTCCAGAGGTTGAGCTGACAACTCTTAGCCTAAGGCCTCCATCATAAATCACATCGTTAGTATAGACTATCTGGTATGGCCCAAGGCTTCCAGGCAAACAAGCACCCTCCTATTAGAGCCTCCTATAAGGGCTTAGAAATGATCTCCCAGGAGCTGAGGCCAAGGCCCA